ACGAATGCGGAATATCAAGAACAATCAAGAATCAATCACCAACATATGCAAGTAATCGGATAAAGGTTTTTCTTGTATTGATTATGAGATGAATGTATAGAGAAAACCCTAATCTAGTAAAAAGCTTACACCAAAAGTAAACCTAATGATTATTTATAGGGAACAATAAATATATACCATAAATATAAAATCTATGCCTAATATAAAACCAATGCCTTAGAAGAGTTCGATTAAGAACTTCTACTGTAAAGGCATCGTAGGGAATCATAAAATGATTAACCCTAAAAAGGCTTCCCTAAATAACCAAATACGCCAAATCAGTTTCAATATCTCAAATACTCAACAATCTCCCCCTAGATGTTGAAATTGATGAAGATCACGATTTCCGATCTTCTTGGCATTTCTCCCCCTAACTTGTGAGAATTATCAGTACATGGGGTCTTCAAAGCGAGAGAAATAAAAATAATCTTCCAAATACGAACTCTCCCTTGAATAATCATCACTCCCCCTTGAATTTTCAACAAATACCATGGAGAGAATCCGGAAAGTTAAGAAGAATCACCAACAATCTTCAAAACCCGTCAGATATGATGAAACAAATTCTTTTAGCAAAAACCCAATCTTCAAAAATTTAAACCGAAAAAAAAAAAACAAAAATTAATTTTGTATTTTCCGATATTTAAATTTAGACAAAAGAATAGAATAAGAAGCAATTATTTTAGAAAGATTTAAAAAAAAAAAAAAAAAAAAAAAAAAAAGAATAAGAAATGAAAAAGTTTTGGAAAAAAGGGATAAAAGTGGTAAAATCCAAAAAATATTGAAAGAATTAAGAATCTTAGGTAAATTCTGTGAAATGTTGAAAGTCAGGGGCAAAATTCAAAAATATAACCCTTTTTTTTCACTGGAGCAAGTAACACGTCCAAGAGGGTAGAAACTGTAAAATTTGTTAGTTTTCGGGGACTGGAATTGAAACCTTGAGTCATCTTCTTCGTTCAATCTAATGAACGACGTTTCTTTGACTTCCAAAAGTGAAAATTAATTACGCATCCAAAATTTTGATTCCGCACTGAGTTCCGATTGTAACTCCAAGTACCAGTTATTATTACG